CACGCACGGGACGCTCAATGTTAAAAACAATCAGGAAACGACAATAAAAGCAGTTTTGGGGGCACTTGAATAAACACAAAGGTCTTGAACATCTAGCTCTCACTGGCAAAATTGAAGGCAAACGAGGCAGGGGTAGGCCCAGAACAACATACTTAGGGAACCTAAACAAATGGGTAACGGGGAAAGATCAGGGAAACGTAGCTTTTTTAAGAGCATCCGAGCAAAGGAATGAATGGAGAACCATGATCGCTTATGTCTGTCACAGATCTGGCACTTGATGATGATGATGATGATGATGATGATGATGATGATGTACTGACAGCAGACAGCATAGTTGATGGTTACTGAATATTATAGCTAGTTGTGTGTAACCTGAAGGCTGACGGCACGAGTGTAAATTGTGAAGCCACACATTGTATCTGGGGGGTTTTTGGTTTGTTTTTTAAAATTGTTTTCTTATCTACGGATAAAATAAAGGTGTGGATAATTATTGTGCAGGGTCTTATCTATATTGTTATATCTTTTTATCTGTCGATCTCTCTATCGGTATCACTCAGTTATAGTCTATATCTATCTATCTATCTATCTATCTATCTATCTGTGATCTATCTATTCTATCTGTCTGTCTGTCAGTCAGTCAGTCAGTCAGTCAGCCAGTCAGTCTATCTGCCTATCTATCTATCTATCTATCTATCTATCTATCTATCTATCTATCTATCTGTCTGTCTGTCTGTCTGTCTGTCTGTCAGTCAGTCAGTCTGTCAGTCAGTCAGTCAGTCAGTCAGCCAGTCAGTCTATCTGCCTATCTAAAAATTATCCTTAATGAAAGATTTAAAATTGTGTCGAAGTACGTTAGAAACTTCCATAGAACAAAAGTGTGTATGTGTGTATTTGCGCGCGCGCGTGTGTGTGTGTGTGTGTGTGTGTGTGTGTGTGTGTGTGTGTGTGTGTGTGTGTGTGTGTGTGTGTGTGCGCGCACATGTAAGGGAAGGGATGGGGTGGGGGCGGGAGGTAAATACCCAAGACGCTGGTTATGAAACAGGCAAGGTGAATAATCAACGCGGGTTTGAGTTTGAGTAAAGAGAAGCACATTGACACAATAACGGTCATTCAGTGCTGGGAAGAAGTAAGACACACAGACAGAAACAACAGAGGGGAAAGTAAAGAAGTACGACCTACCAGTGGCGCCCTCCAACCACCCACAACGCGGGTCAAAATGGAGGTGAGAGTGAAACTGAAGGTCAGAATAGGTCTACATGACATTGTATAAATGAAAACACAAGAAGAAGCTTCGCGGAGTCCATCGTGCGGTTCTCCTGCAAGTTCGTGCACACAAAGACAATGACGTCACCGAAAAATGTGTTTGTTTGTTGTTGTTTTTTGTAGAGGTTTTATATGGCGCTCGCAACTGCATAAGGTCATATGAATGCCAAAAGATTAGAGGTGTCACAAGAGAGTAACAAACATAAAAAAGAAGGAGGGGGAGATTTGGACGATAGATTTTTTATAGGAAAGAAGGAGCAAACCACACCAGAGCACCCACCAACCACCCACATCGAAAATGTGTACCTAGGTACGAAAACGAAGCCAGTGTCAAGAAAGACTCTTCTGTGACTGTGAGTGTGAGTTTTTTGTTCATTTTTTCTTTCTCTTTTTTTTTAGGTTATGTCGTGTAGGGTTGATCAGTGCATGATTTGACACCGAGTTCTGTGGTGTAGTGGTCAGGTGCTTCATCGCAGTCTCACGCAGAAGACACGAGTTTGATTCTTGTGTGTGTGGGGGGCGGGGTGGGGG